ACATATTTGAATGGCTAATGAGTACATTAAAAGATGCCCAACATCTTGATCATCAGTGAAATGCAAATTAGAAACTCAATGAAATAATACTACAAATCCACTAGAATGTCTATTATCAAGAAGTGTGACTACACCAAGTGTTGGGGAGGATATAGGGAGACTGGAAAACTTAAATACTGCTGGTAGGAATGAAAGTGGGACAGCCACTTTGGAAAACAGTTTTGCACTTTCTTAAAAAGTTAAGTACATGACGAAAGAAACTGAAGACCACACAAACAGTTGTACTGATAAGCTGTGTTCTTAGACTGGAAGAATCAACATTGTTAAAATGACCATATTACCCAAGGCAATGTACAAATTCAATGCAATCCCTGTCAAATTACCAGTGACATTTTTCACAGAACTGGAAGAAAAAAGTATTTAATTTGTATGGAAATACAAAAGACTCTGAATAGCCAAAAGCAATCCTGAAAAAGAAGAACGGAGCTAGCAGAATCTCGCTCCCGACTTCAGACTGTACCACAAAGTCACAGCCACCAAAGCAGCATGGTGCCGGCACGAAAAGAGACACATGGGTCAGCAGGACAGGAGAGCAGGCGCAGAAACATACCCACACACTTACGGTCAATTTATCCAAGACAAAGAAGCAAGAATACAGAGAAGAAAAGACAGTCTCTTCAGTAAGTGGTGCTGGGAAAACCAGGCAACTACATGTGAAAGAGTAAAATTAGAACACTCTCTAACACAATATACAAAAATAAACCCCAAATGGATTAAAGACCTAAATATAAGATCAGATACTATAAAACTCCTAGAGGAAAATTTAGGCAGAACACTCTTTGACATAAATCACAGCAATATTTGTTTGGATCCACCTTCTGGAATACTAAAAACAAAAATAAACAAATGGGATCTAATTAAACCTAAAATTTTGCACAGCAAAGGAAATCATAAACAAAACAAAAAGGACAATGTACAAAATGGGAGAAAATATCTGCAAATAAACTGACCAAAATGGGATCAATTTCCATAATATGCAAACAGCTTGTATACCTCAATACCAAAAAAACCCCCAACCCAATTTAAAAAATGGGCAGAAGACCTAAATAGGCATTTTACCAAAGAAGACATACAGATGGCCAAGAAGCACATGGAAAGATGCTCAACATCACTAATTATTAGAGAAATGAAAATGAAAACCACAATGAGGTACCACCTCACACTGGTTAGAATGGCCATCACCAAAAAATCTATAAATAATAAATGCTGGAGAGGGTGTAGAGAAAAGAGAACCTCCTACACTGTTAGTGTGAATGTAAACTGGTGTATCAGCTATGGAGAACATTAAGGTGGTTCCTTAAAAAAGTAAAATAGAGTTTCCACAAGTTCCAGCAATCCTACTCCTGAGCATATATATGGAAAAAATGAAAATTCTAATTTGAAAAGATACATGCACCCCAATGTTCACTGCAGCACTATTTACAATAGCCAAGACGTGGAACCAACCTAAATGTTCATCAAAAGATGAGTGGATAAAGAAGATGTGGGATATATATATATAAATACATACATACATAAATAATGGAATATTACTCAGCCATAAAAAGTTTAAACAATGCCATTTGTAGTAACACAGATGGATCTAGAGATTATTGTACTAAGTGAAGTAAGTCAGACAAAGACAAATATTGTATGCTATCATTTATATGTGGAGTCTAAAAAATGCAAATGAACTATTTACACAATAGAAATGAACTCACAGACATAGAAAACACACTTGCACCCAAGGGGAAAGAGGGGGAAGGGATAAATTGGGAATTTGCAATTAAGAGATACAAACTACCATATATAAAATACATCAAAAACCAAGGACCTATTGAATAGCACAGGGAACTATATTCAATATCTATAATAACATATAATAGGAAAAATCTGAAAATAATGTACATATGTACACTTTGCTGTACACATAGATCAGTGTAAATCAACTATACCTCAATAAAGAAATCACGCATATACTTACCATATGACCCAGACATCCCACTCCTAATATCTACTCGAGAGATATAAAAACATATCCATACAAAGACTTATACGCAAATGTTGATAGCAGTATTACTCTTAATAGTCCAAAATGGAAAACAATACAAATGTTTTTCATTTGGTGAATGAAAAAACAAAATGTGTATTTCATTTATTTCCATATATTAGAATTCTATGCAGCAATAAAAACAAAGACCTTCAAACCATGCTACAATATGGATAAACTGCAAAAGCATTAGGATATGTAAAAGAGGCTAGATGAGAAAGACTACATATGGAATGAATCCATTTATGTGACACTTAAAAAAAGGTTTAACTACAGAGAGACAAAGCAGATTAGTGTTTGCCTAAGGCTTAGGGTAGGAGCAGGGACTGCTTGCAAAACAGGAACAAGAGAACTTTTAGGGTAAGGAAATAGTCTAAAGCTGGATTGTTATGCTTGCATGATGATAGGTGAATTTTATGTTACATAAAATATACATAAATAAAGCTTTTTAAAAAGTAATAGGACAAAAAACAAAGTAAAAAACTAGGGCATATATCTAGTTACTTAGGTTAAGAATTTATATATATTATCTATATGTGGGTTAAACAGCTTATTGTTGATTATTAAACAGGAATTTTGATAACTGTGCACTGCTAAAATTAATTGTCCTCAAACAATTTTTGTAAGGAAATTTTACATTTTTTGTTAACTACAAAACAACATTTCTTTCTATCACAGCTCTCAATTCAAGGCTAATTAAGTAGCATTACATTTCTGGATAGAGAAATGAAGGCAGCTAGGGAGACTATTTTTCTTGCTCTTACTCAGCTTACCTACAGTGAAGATATGTCCTGGCTTACTGCATTTAAAACTGTCAGGACAACTCTGGTTGTTCTCCACGTGTTCTCAAAAGTGTCCTGGGTTGGGTGATAAATTATATAGTCAACCTGTCTATAGCAGAATTGTTCTCATTCTTAATCCTTAATTTTCATTACTATGAAGGGGAACCCCTGAAAGTTTTGAAAGCCTTTAAATAGGTTATAAACCATACAATCATAAAAATTTCAGATAGTCATTTTACAAAGGAAGATCTGGGGCATAGAAAAATTAAAATGAGAAGCCCTAAATCACATTGTTTTGATTAAGGTTTTTAATGCTACCACACACACACCACTCTTTATACAATAGGAGTTTTTGTTGGATAAGTACATTTTTCTCTTGGAGGTAGTAATTATTACTATCTCCATTTCACATATAAGGCAGGAGGTGTTTTTCTTTTTTTGGCAGGAGGTTTTAAGAAGGTAATTACTTTGTCTAAGATTAAACCAAGGCTTAAAAGTTAAAATTGGGATGCAAATCCTGATTACAAACCTAAACACAACCTCTAAGCATAATGCGTCTCATGCAAGTGACCACGGGCACGGGTACAGGGATGTGTGTGTGTGCACAATGTGGCCGAAACAGTTCTTGAGTTGAGGTTCATGAGACCAGGGATTCAGTGAATTGGGTTGAGAGAGCCTGTATCACTAAGAAATTATATGTAACATTTCCTATGTGTATATAAAATTTTCTTCTTGAGAGAGAGAGAATGTAAAGCTCTTACCAGATCCTCAAAAGTATTTATGACATAAGTAAAATTAAGAACCTTTTAGATTGCTTTGGTAGGGAGGTTAAACATTTAAGATACTCTATATTTTGTAACAGCTATCATAGTCATAACTAGAACATTTTGTCAAACAACAAAACTAATAAGCAATTACTGAGAGACAGTATATATATTATATGTACATATAATATATATATATTATTGCTTGTGTGTGTGTGCTCAGTCTTGTCCGACTCAATTGCGACCCCCTGGACTATAGTCCACCAGGTATATAATGTAGTATTTTGGATTTTGCACTTTTTTTAAAAAAGAGGATCAAGCCCTCATTTGATATATTAATAGAACATGACCCAGTAGCTGTGACAGTAGTGAAGAATGAATGATGGGAGAGATGTTTACTATTGGTGGCTAAATTCTGTTGAAGTAGCTGTGCGTTAAGCAGAGTTTTCTTATATGCTATACCAGCTTAAAGTAAGATTAATTTAGAAGTACTAAATAAGAAAGGTACATAAATTGACAGTAGAAAGGACAACAAATTGCATTAAATCAAATAATTTTCTGCTTTTGTTTTTTGATAAGTAATACAAGTTGATTTTCTTAAGAAGGACAATAGTATTCGTAGGAATTTTGGGAGCAACTTTTTCAAAAGTATGTATCATTTTACCTTTGTAAAAATATTGTCTTCAACCCTTCATATAACATAGAGTCAACATACTAGCATTTATGTCCTGAGATAATATTCAGCCAGACACACCCGTACAACTTTACTACTGTTAAATTATTGAAAGACATGACTCCTGTAGTCTTGCCTGGAGAATCTCCATGGATTGAGGAGCCTGGTGGGCTACAGTCCGGGGACTGCAAACAGTCGGACATGACTGAGCGACTAAGCACAGCATGTAGAACATACAGACTGGTACATAGGATAATAGTAACTGTATTACATGATAGAATTAATAATAAAAATTTCAATATAAAATCATTAGTTCAAATTATTTGCCACTGAATATCATAATAAAACTGTTACAAGAGTCCTACTGGAATGTGACTTAGTTGCCACTGAATATATATAGCTTAATGAATATATATTTATTGATACTGACACCAAATATTTAACAATTTTAGACAATAGTATAAAAACAAGAAGTTTTTAAGTGAAACGCTTCCGCAAAAGCTGAGAGGATTCATCACTATGAACAATATGTTTATACTGGAGAAATTCTCTCTTTATTGAAACTCTCCAAAATTGTTTTGATTCTGGCCTATTTTTTAAGAAAAATAAATTTGTATGACAATCTGAGAGTGGGAAACAGTGAGAAAGAAAAAAAAAAGCACTGGATATTAAAAAAATTTGCCATAACTCACCATCAGAGGGCACAACAGTACTGCAATAAACAACTCCCAAATTAGGCCAAGAAGAGAGCCTCTGGTGTACCTAGAAAATACAAAAAGACACGTCCTTTGTCAGGCACACAACAAATGCTATATATACGTATGTGTATGAATATAATAAATAACAACTTTTAAATCAATTAAATAATATATATTCTTTAGCAGAAAAGTTTAAAAATCCAGATAAAGGAAAAGTCTCTCAAACTCTTTACATCCTAAGATGTTAGTGATGCACATTTTGGTTTATTTCAAGATTTCATACAAACACATTTACACACAGACACCCATACAAACTGTTTTTTCATCTAGTTTTTTAAACACTTAATACTGGTTTTAAGCACTGTCAAGTCTAAACAAAACTTTGTTTCTTGTTCTTCTTACTAGTTTTTAGACCTGCATTTCCTTTACGTCTTATTAGGCATAAGACAGTTATTAAATAGCTATATCACTACTCTACTGTTATTGGGTAGACACTAGTCTTTCTGTTTACTCTCCTTTTTCTGTTTTAATTTGGTCAGGCAACTTCATTCCTGGAGTCTTTAATCCTTATCATCTTCTGAATATTAGGAGGGACTCACACTAATATCCACCTTTACTACTTCCTCAAAAAGTAGTGTCATTGTGCATTTAGGTTTAGAATTTAGGCTCTCACAATTAAACTTAAGTTTCAGAAAGATTATTGAATATGTTTATGACTTGCTAAATGCTTAATTTATCCCCTTGTACCTTTTAATTTCCTAGGCTCAAAAAGTATTAAAGGAGGAAGAAAAGAACACATTAATGGACTAAAAACCGACATATTAGCCTCAGAGCCAGATATTATATTCCACTCCAAGAATCCAAACAAAAATCATTTAGGACTCTAAGACAATGCACACCTAACAAGACTATGACGTATAACAGACATCTTTCAAGTTAGTATCATAAATTCCTACCTCTTACCAGCTTAAGAAAGCATGCAGAATGCAAGACTGTTTTCTAAAAATGAAAAAAACCACTTAAATCACTTGAGACTTCACAGCTGATCATTACACACTAATGTTTTGATGCCGTCATTAAGAATCTTTAAGTTAATATACATAACTTTAGTGTAGACTGCCACTTTCAGATTCTTTTTGTTTCAAAATATTTAGTTAAACTCAATTTTACTCAGAGATCAAAGAAGGCTCTGGTTAAATACAGGTGTGCTGGGAAATCCTACAATCCTAATCCTTTGCTTCAACACTTTTAATGGGGACCAAAGAATCCTTAGCTCCATAAAGATGTTTTGAAAAGGAAGATGAGTCCAAACTCTTATTCTACAAATGAGAAAACTGAGACTCAGAGAGGGAAAGTGACTTACAAAGAGCCACATATCAGAATCAGGATTAGAACCCAGGCCTCAATACTGCTAACCATCTACTATACAAAATACACAGGACCTGGATCTTGTCCTCTCAATTGGCTCAAGTATAACTTTAGGATGCTTTGTTGTTGTGCAGTACCTAAGTATTATCCAACTCTTTGTGACCTCATAGACTGCAGCACGCCAGGCTTCCCTGTCCTTCACTATCTCCTGGAGTTTGCTCAAGTTCATGTCCATTGAGTCGGTGATCCATTTCATCCTTTGCTGCAGCTCTTCTCTCCTCCTGCACTCAATCTTTCCTAGCATCAGGGTCTTTTCCAATGAGTTGGCTCTTTGCATCAGGGGGCCAAAGTATTGGAGCTTCGGCTTCAGCATCAGTCCTTTCAATGAATATTCAGGATTGATTTCCTTTAGGATTGACTGGTTTGATCTCCTTGCTGTCCAAGTGACTCAAGAGTCTTCTCCAGCACAATTCGAAAGGATCAATTCTTACGATGCTTAGCTGTGGTTTAACAAGATGCTTTTATTTTAAATGTTTAAGTTAACTTATTTAGTTAGACCAGAAAAAGTAAGTCTATGATATAAAATTCAAAAGAACAAAAACTAAGTAAAAAAGTTAATTATTTTACACAAAATATTGGTCTTCCTCCCATCCTTGTGGCCCAGCTGCTCAGTTCTCCTCTCCAGAGGTAACTGGTTAAATCTGGATAGTCTATCAGACACTATTATATATATGTGTGTGTGTGTGTGTGTGTGTGTGTGTGTATGTGCATATATGTCTAAGCATTTGTGGAGATTTTTTTAAATGCAAATGGTAGCATGCTACAGTCCCACTAGTCATTTGTCCCTTTAATACATTATAATAAAAGGTTGTCTGTCATTAGATACATGATACTTGATTTTCCCTGGTGACTCAGATGGGAAAGAACCTGACTGCAATGCAGGAGACCTGGGTTCAATCCCTGGGTCAGGAAGATCCCCTAGAGGAGGCATGGCAACCCACTCTAGTATTCTTGCCTTCCGGAGAATCCCATGGAGTCAAGACACAACCGAAGCAACTAAACAGGAGCATGATACTCGAATGAATATCCTTACATGTGGGCACAGACATCCGAGAACAAAATACTTCAAGAGAAAGTGCTAGGTTAAAGATATGTGCTCTTCAACTTTTGAAAGCTATTACCAAGTTGTTTTTCATAGAGGTTATATGAATTCACATACCTATCAAATATACTCTAATTCACTAAATGAATTAGACCACTAAATGGTCTCTATGCCCTCCTAAACAATGGACTACTATCAAACTTCGTTATGTTGCCAATATTGCAGGTGAACAGTTTCACCACAACTGTAATTTGCATTTGTTTTGTATTGAGTGATAATTTATACATATTTTAATCTAAGAGTTAGTTGTATTTGTTTTCCTATGCACAAAGTATTTACATCTTTTGTCATTTTTTGAATCTTGATCTTGGTCTTGAATATTATTTTGTAGAAAGTCTTTAAATAGTAAGAAAATTACCCCTTGGTCAACCAAAAACCCTTTGGTTATAAAAATTTCCTTGTTTCTATTTTTACTTTGTTAATGGCATTTTTGTAAGAACACGATTTTCATGTCTTAAGAGTCAAACTTTTCAATCTTTTCTGTGTGGTTTAAGGGGCCTGTGTCATGTATCTTAGCAGGTTTCCCTACTTTGAGAATATTATAAAATTCTTCCATGGCCTCTAGTTTATTTTCTCAGGTTTAAATCTTTGACTCATTAGGAATTAATTTTAGTCAGTTAAGAAGTAGCAATCCAACTTACCTCTAATGATAACATAGCTTTCCCTTATATTTAATAATTCATTTTCCCTCTTATTTTAAATGCTACCTTTTTAATTTTCCAAATACCTAGATCAACTTGGATCTTTTCCTGTCCAATGATCTGTGTGTTCATGCTCTAGTGGTGGTTTGGTCACTAAGTCATGCTTGAGTTCTGCAACCCCACTGACTACAGGCTCATCTGTCCATACAATTTTCCAGGCGAGAGTACTGGAGTGGGTGGCCATTTCCTTCTCCAGGGGATCTGCCTGACCCAGGGATAGAATGCAAGTCTCCTGCACTGCAGGCAGATTCTTCAACAAGTGAGCTACCGTTTTAACATTCTAGCTTTATATTTTTACATCTAGCATGGTGGGGTATTTTCCCTCATTACTTTCCTTTAAGAATTTTCCTTGCTATTTTTGCTTATTTGTATCTCCACATGTAATTCAGAGTCAGTATTTTTAGTTACACACATATGCACAAAGACACACACACACTCATGACACCAATCAGCTTCAAAAGTAACACTGTATTGGGGCTAAGAGCATAGAATTTATAATTAACCCTGATAAGATTCTGTAATGTACTCTAACTGCAGCCTTTGCAAGTTCATTAGCCTCTTCGTGCCTTAGTTTTAACTGAAAAAATGGGCAAAGTGTAATACCAGTAGTTACCACATAAAGTTGCCATGAAGACAAAATGATAAATACACATAAAGCATTTAGAAAGAGCCTGGCATTGAGTAAGTGCTCAATAAAATGTTAGGGATTTTTGTTTGTTTGTTTTGAAGTTGAGATCTTATTAACTCCATGGATTAACAAAAGGAAACTGACATCTATTTTGATTTTGAGTCTTTTCACTCAAGAAACTTGTCTTTCTATTTTAGTCTGTTTTTCTCAAAATAGCTTGAGTTTTTCTTCATTCAGATTTTTCCTGAGTTTCTTTGTTTTAGGAATGACTGTAGTTTTCTTTGTGATCTAATCTGGGATTTTTTTAATAAGAAAAATTTAGCCTATTTATATTTATTAATATAACATATATTTAATCTTTCAGTCATCAAATTTTATGTCATAAAATTTTTGTTTCTTGCTTTATTGTTGGTCTTTCTTCTTAAAAAGTTTACTAAACAATTTGTGTTTGCTTTGCTTTAGTTACATGTGTACTTCTATTAGTAATATTAATATAGGAAGTTTTTTGTATTAGTAGTTATTTAGAGTAAGATCTAAGTTCTTCTAACTACCTTTAAGGCCCAATATTATCTGATAGTCTGTTATCTGGGCTTTCCTGGTGGCTCAGACAGAGGTAAAGAATCTATCTGCAGAGCAGGAGACTGCCTGCAATGCAGGAGACATGGATTCTATCTCTGGGTTGGGAAGACCTGTGGAGAAGGAAATGGCAACCTACACCAGTATTCTTGCCTAGGAAATCTCATGGACAGAGGAGCCTGGTGGGGTAGAGTCTTGGGTGCTGCAAGAGCTCTAATTAGTGACTAAACCACCACCATTATCTCTCTGACTTCACTTCCTACCATCTGCCTCTCAATCTTTCTGCTTTAGCCCTTAGGCTCTTTTCTATGCACACTACCAATACTTTAACTGTCGTTTTCCCTTTCATTTCTTTTTTTTTTTTTCCCCTCTTTTATTTACTTTATTCAGTAGGCAGTGAGGGTCTCAAAAATCTTTCTCTTCATCAGATGTTTGGTCTCCTTGTAAAGCTTTAGGTTTTTGAGGTTGAACATGGAGCTTTACTCCATCAATAACATGATTTTCCTGTTGTAGTGCATTGTTAAGTTCTTCTGAAGAAAAGTGAATCCAACCCATACCTTTGTGAAAGCCAGTCTCTTTGTCAAAAGGAACAGTGCACTTTCTTACATGGCCAAATTGTGCAAAGTGTT